GGGGGGGGGGATGACACCAGCCCCGTGCCCAAACCACAGCCCCCCAGGGACAGGGACGAGGGCCCCGTTTCGCTCTTGCCCCACTGGTCCTGGTTGGAGTGGGACAGAGGTGCCTAGAAGCTCCCCCCTGCCCCCTCCCAAAATGGCTGCAGGGCTTGGGAACAAGTCCCTGATGCTGCCATGGGGCAGCTGGGCTTGGGGACAAGGGCAGGGACAGGTCCCTGACACAGCCAAGGGGCTCGGGGATGAGGGCAGGGATGAGTCCCCAGCACAGCCAAGGGGCTGCTTGGCTTGGGGACAAGGGCAGGAACAAGTCCCCGATGTGGCCAAGAGGCTGGGGGGCTTGGGGACAAGGGCAGGGACAAGTCCCCAGTGTGGCCAAGGGGCTGCTTGGCCTGGGGACAAGGGAAGGGACAAGAACCCGATGAATGTGGCCAAGAGGCTGGGGGGCTTGGGGACAAGGGCAGGGACAAGTCCCCAATGTGGCCAAGGGGCTGCTTGGCTTGGGGACAAGGGCAGGGACAAGTACCCAATGTGGCCAAGGGGCCAGGGGGCTTGGGGACGAAGCCTCTGACACTGCCAGGGAACCGTAGGGCTTGGGGACAAGGACAGGGACAAGTCCCTGATGCAGCCAAGGGGCTTCTTGGCTTGGGGACAAAGCCCCTGACACGGTCAGGGGACTGTAAGGCTTGGGGACAAGGACAGGGGCGAGTCCCTGATGCAGTCAAGGGGCTGGGGGGCTTGGGGACCAGGGCAGGGATGAGTCCCGAAGGTGGCCAAGGGGCTGGGGGACAAGGGCAGGGATGAGTCCCTGCTGCAGTCAAGGGGCTGGGGACTCAGGGACAAGGGCAGGGACAAGTCCCTGACGTGGCCAAGAGGCTGAGGGGCTCGGGGACAAAGCCGCAGGCACATCCCTGACACCACCAAGGGACATGGGGCTCGGGGACAAGGGCAGGGATGAGTCCCCGATGTGGCCAAGGGGCTGGGATCTTGGGGACAAGGGCAGGGACACATCCCCGAGGCGGCCAAGGGACCGTGGGGCTTGGGGACAAAGCCCCAGGCACATCCCTGACACCACCAAGGGACATGGGGCTCGGGGACAAGGGCAGGGATGAGTCCCCGATGTGGCCAAGGGGCTGGGATCTTGGGGACAAGGGCAGGGACACATCCCCGAGGCGGCCAAGGGGCCGTGGGGCTTGGGGACAAAGCCCCAGGCACATCCCTGACACCACCAAGGGATCATGGGGCTCGGGGACAAGGGCAGGGATGAGTCCCCAAGGTGGCCAAGGGACCAGAGAGCTTGGGGACAAGGGCAGGGACACGTCCCTGAGGCAGCCAAGGGACTGTGGGGCTGGGGGACAAGGACAGGGACGCGTCCCCAAGGCAGCCAGGGGACTGGAGAGCTTTCGGATGAGGCTCCGGCCACATCCCCAACACAACCAAGGGGTTGCAGGGCTCTGGGCTGAGCCCCCAAAAGAGATCTGTGGGGTGAGAGGGGCTCCAAGCCCTCCCCCACCCCCCCAAAAGACACCGGAGGGGGCGCAGGGCCTGAGGGGCCGCCCAGCACCCGTTCAGGATCGGGAGCAGCAAGGCCAAAAAAAATAAACGTGGCCGGCAGCGTCCGGTCCAGCGTCCCCCCAGGGGTGCAGGGGACACGGCCGCCGTCTCTCCCCCCTATTTCGGGGCCCCGAGCTGATAAAAGCAGACAATAAAATAAATTAAAAAGCGCTCGGGGGCCGCGGGGGGAGCATGGGGCACCGCTTCCTCGTGTCCCCAAGGG